TTCTGGTTCCTTCTAAAGTCTTTTTCATTCAATTTCACTTCGAGTAACCCCTTGCGGTTCGTGGCATCATGACATTGCTTGGGTTGAATTGATTAAAAAAAGAAAAAGAAAAAGAAAAAAGGCTGCTTTGTGGAACAGACACCCAGTAGGATGTTTTCCCAGTTAAAGATATGGACTTCACTTCTTACCTTTTCTTACGCTCAAAAAACATAACAAACCAACCTTCTACCTTTAGACTTACATTTGGTGAACATTATTATTAAAAAAACAAAAAAAAACTTACTTTTCTCTAAGAGCTTATTTTTTTTCTTTCTTTTTTTTACTCATGCTACACCGAATTCTGAAGGCGCATTGGAAGAGTGAAAGATGTTTTCTTAAAGCTAAACAAAGTATTAAGAAACAGGAAATTACTTACATTACATTCGGTTATTATTTCTAGAGATTGTTTTTTTTTTTGTGTGTGTGTGTGTCTTTTACAAAACCGGTTCCTAATATGGGCCCCCAAAATAAACAGGATCCGAATGGAACTAATGCAAAGTGAAATAAAGAGAAGTTTGAACCAGGTTCTACAGATTCCATTCTCCATTGCCCTAACCATTGCTCCCATTACTTTATTGACTCGCTTTCTAAACCGTCAGCTTCATACAATTGCTTTCTTAGATCAATGGTTAACAATGGCGCCGAACAAATGGGCCCTGTTGGTCTTAAAGAGGGCCATACTTACTCGAACATTGTGGACAGGCGCAACAGAAATACAAAAAGCTGTACTAAATGAAAGAAACCATATCACTTGAGGACTTCAACAACAGCAACAAATAAAACGGATAACACATGTAAATCGAAAAGAAAATAATGAAATAACCAAGATGTTGACATTCCACATTATATCAAACAAAAGGTTAGGAAGGAAAACGCCATCATTAATGAGAAGAGAAATAACTGTTGACAGATTGAAATAAAAAAAATGTTTTCCTGGAAAAAATTTTCAATAGAAAAAAAAAAATGTAAATTTGACGGTAGAAGTGATTGCTCCGTCAATGAATGCCGAATGTTACCTTATAAAGAGACGCTTAATATTAACCCTAGAACACTAACCATCAATTAAAGATACACCACTACTAACCATGGATATATCATACCCGATTTTGAAAATATCAAAAAAAAAATTAAATATAAATCTTTATTTGAAATATTTTACATGCAGGCACTTCAAACTTTGTACTTTGAGTTAACATTAATAGGAACTGAAAAACATTATTTAGGTAAGAAAATCAGGTTCTGAAAATTGTAATTAAAAATAGGAAAATTTGCGCTGGGTACTATATACCCATGGTTAGTGTTCTAGGGTTAATATTATTATTATCATTAGGATTTTTCGCTTAAATTTTAAGAGAACCTATAAATTATCTTCTCCAAATTAGTTCCGATTATTCTTTTATTTTATAAATATATTTTTAATTCCTTTTGTTTTTTAATTCATTTCCAATCTTCGTCTTCAATACTAGAATCATCTTTTTGCCCTCCCTAAAAAATCTTTATCATATGACTGCAGTCCACTTATATCACATTTCCATTCCTGCCTAATCAAATAACTATTGCTCTTTTCGTCGTTTTAATTCTTCGCTATATTTAAATATGTATTTCGATTTATACTTCATATTCGACAGTGAAAATTCTCCATCATTTCAACGATTCCATTTTCCATATCGGGTGCATAATATCATGAGTTGGACATTTTCTTATAATTTTACTTCAAACTTATCCAAATAATTAATTTACGAATAACTTTCATATCATTACAGACCAGTTAAAAGTTTTTCCCTATATTTAGGACATCACACAATATCTTCGAAATGTTATAACCTCATTTTACTTTCAAGAGTCCTTTCGTGTAGTGCTTGAAGAAACTTTTCATTAATCTCGTATGTTCTTCAGCACATCACCATGTGTATAATTCCTTCATGTGTTTCAACTCCTTCAATCACTCACTCATTTGAACAAAAATCCGAAATTTATTTTCATCAAGATCTCCTCTTTCATTCTTTTCTACATACAACCTTATTGAAAAGTGAATGAGTGGCGTAAAGGTTAGCAAAATTTTCCCTCTAGAACAGTTATGACTAAGTAATGAGTTCGATTCTCACTGGGTGTCCCGTACTTACATCCGCAACTCCATTTCAAAATATTACCTACTTATATTTCATCCACAAACTTCCATTGAAAGTGGAATACGCGGCGTAATGGTTGACAAGATTTTCACTATAGAAAAGTTACGACTGAGTAGTGAGATCGATCCTCACTGAGTGCCCCGTAATTATATCCGTAACACCCTTTGAGAACATACCCGACTCTTATTTCATCCAGACATTTCCATAGAAAAGGGAATACGCCGCGTAATGGTTAGCAAGCTTTTCTCTCAAGAACAGTTACGACTGAGTAGTGAGTTCGATCCTCACTGAGTGTCCGTACTTATATCCATAATTGAAAAGGGAATACGCTACGTAATTGTAAGCAAGCTTTTCTCTCAAGAAGAATTACGACTGAGTAGTGAGTTCGATCCTCACTGAGTGTCCCGAACTTATATCCGTAACTCCCTTTGAAAACATTCCCGACTCTTATTTCATCCACACACTTCAATTGAAAAGGGAATACGCTCGTAATGGTAAGCAATCTTTTCTCTCAAGAAGACTTACGACTGAGTAGTGAGTTCGATCTTCACTGAGTCTTCCGTACTTATATCCGTAACTCCCTTTGAGAACATTTCCTACTTTTATTTCATCCACATATTTTCCTTGAAAAGGGAATATGCTGCGTAATGGTTAACAAGCTTTTCTCTCTAGAACTGTTACGTGTCGTTAGTCTGATTTTCACTGGGTGCTCCATACTTTAGTCCTTCTGCCTGAATTAAGTTACGGCTATCTCGACAAACTCCGCTATACTTAATTAAAATATCTTAATCTTCTTCCTCTCAAAGACGTTTTGTATTTCTTCTTCTTTTTCCTTCCTTTCCGTACTTTCTTTTTTCCTCTTCCATTCTGTTTAAATAATCTCGTCCATTCTTTGAAATGCTTTCTCTCTCTTCCCCTCATGCCGTTTCAGAATCACTTTTCTTCTTTCTCTTCCTAGATCTTCTTAATATTTCATCATCTTCTTTTGATAATCAATGTAAATAAGTTCGACTCTTCTTACGTTAGAGCTCTTACATCTTTTGGCACTCATTTTTAATATCTCCTTCTTTACTTTCTGTATTTTCTCTTTACGCGCCTCTAGTCCTTGGTAAGACTATAAACTCCATCTTCATTCCTGGGTTAGACGATAAACTACACCCGACAGCAAGGCATCTGCTCAGGAGGTTTTGAGAAGCGTGGAACCCCCTTTTATCTTCTGATGTTCTCAGGTCCACCCTGACTCGGGCTGGTAGGCAAAACACTATGAAAACATAGAAATAGTAGTCAATACCAGCAATACATTCTTGAAAAAAAATATTACCAGCAATACATTTTTGAACAAAAATGTTCCCAGTGATAAAAATCCACAAGGACGCATGGCACAATGGTTAAAAGCGTTAGTTAGATCCAGTGGCATGACCCAAAGAATGTGAGTTCAATACCTGGTTAAGGCAGTGGAGAACTTGGAGAGGGAAATTAACAGGATATAACTAACATCAATTAAACATGGGACTAGAACAATCTACCACAGTAATCGAAATAAAGGGTTCAGTTCGATATTCCAAACACCTGAAGAAGGCCGGAGTGTACAAAGGCTGAAACGTTGTGATAAACATGGCGACAAAGATGAGGACAATAGTCCGAATAATGTAAATAGTTTACGTAATACCTCATCTCAGAAATATAGACAGATACTGAAGGGTGATAAATATGGTGACAAAGATGAGGACAATAGTCCGAATAATGTAAATAGTGTACATAATACCTCATCTCAGAAATATAGACAGATATTAAAGGGTGATAAATATGGCGACAAAGATGAGGACAATAGTCCGAATAATGTAAATAGTGTACATAATACCTCATCTCAGAAATATAGACAGATATTAAAGGGTGATAAATATGGCAACAAAGATGAGGACAATAGTCCGAATAATGTAAATAGTTTACGTAATACCTCATCTCAGAAATATAGACAGATACTGATAAAAATCTTGTCGGCATTAAATAACCTATTGAGATAGATATCCCGTAAACCAAACCAAATCTGACGGTCCCCTTAAATGGTTTGTACCTTTTCCTCTTTAACATCTCTTTAAAAAGCCTCTGAAAAACATCTTTCTTCTTCTATCTTTACAGCCTTCTTTTTCTCTCCTTCTGAGATCCTGTCCCTGTCTCTTCATTTTTGTCTTCACACTCCCTTCAAATATATTCTCTCTTTCTCTTTCTTTATTTTCTACTTATCCTTACATTTCCTTTTAATATGTTCTCTCTTTCATGTGAAAATTTGCTCACTATCTCCTCCTCCTCCTCGTCTTCTTCCTCGTTCATCCTTCTCCTCCTTCTCCTCCTCCACCTCCTTCTTCTTCTTCTTCAAAAACTCCTCCTCGTCCTTCTTCTTCTTCTTCTTCTTCTTCTTCAAAAACTCCACCTCCTCTTCCGCCTCCTCGTCCTTCTTCTTCTTCTTTTTCTTCTTCAAAAACTCCTCCTCCTCCACCTCCTCGTACTTCTTCTTTTTCTTTTTCTTATTCTAACTCTTCTTCTAAACCTCCTCCTCCGCGTCCTCCTCCTTCTTTCTTTTCCTCTTCTTCTCCTTCGTCTTCTTCTTCTTCTCCATCTTTTTCTTCTTCTTCTTCTTCTTCTTCTTCTTCTTCTTCTTCTTCTTCTTCTCGTTTTACTTTCTTTATAAACTCTCTTTGCATGCCTTCGTCATTTTTTTCCTTTTTCTTTTTGACTTTCTTCTTCTTTTCATGATCTTCTCTCTTTTTTTCCCACTTCACTCTCAAACTGTCCCTCTAAATATATTTTCGTTTCATTTCTCTCTCGTTTGGAATGTCTTCACGGCTTCTTCCTTTTTTTTTCCTTCTTTGCTTTTTTTCTCTTTCTTGTTGTTCCCGTTGTTGTTGTTGTTCTTCTTCTTCTTCTTCAAAAACTTCTCCGCCTCCTCCTCCTCCTTCCTGTTCCTCTTCCTCTTCTTCTTCTTCTTCAATACTTCCTCCTCCTCCTCCTTCCTCTCCTTCTTCAAAACTTCCTCCTCCGCCTTCTCTTTTTTCCTTTTCTTCTTCTTCTTCAAAAACTCCTCCGCCTCCTTTTTCCTCCCCCTCCTTCTTCTTCTTCTTCTTCTTCTTCTTCTTCTTCTTCTTCTTCTTCTTCTTCTTCTTCTTCAAAACCTCCTCCTCCTTCCTCTTCTTCTTCTTCAAAACTTCCTCCTCCTCTGCCTCCTCATTTTTTTTTTTTTCTTCTTCTTCTTCTTTCATACTCCCTTTGAATATTGTCTCCCTTTCTCTTCATCTTCGAGTTGAACTAAGACCTCCTCCCTTTCTTTTTCCTATTTCCCTTCTTTTCCACACACACTCATTTCAAAATCTTTGCCCTTCCTTTCTTCTCCCCGACTTTCACACTCCATTTGATAACCTTTACTTACTTCTTTTCTCTCTTTACTTTCATTTATTTCTCACATTCTCTTGACTATCTTCTCCCCTCGTTTTACTCTTTAGATTCTTCCTTTCCACCTACCCGCTTTGAATTACTTCCCTCTTTCTTTTCTCTCTCTTTTCTTTCCCGTTCGCCTTACACTCACATTGAATATCCTCTGCCACTCTCGCTGTCTTTCTTGTATTTCT